AACTCAGTTGTCAACTCGGAATTTGACTATCTGCCTGTAATTTCTGCTAAAAGTAGACTCTTTCGTTCTTTGCTTTTGTGAGCATAAACGAGTGCTTCTTTTGGTTGGAACACACACCTGTTCGTCGGGGAGGTGCGTGCACAATGGTTGTTTGGGGACGGAATTTTTTTGGACTCAGTAAAAAGAAACGGGGAGCAACTTAACCCAAGCTCCTTATTTTTTGAACACAAATTCGTTCGTAGATATGCAGTTTCATTCCATGTTCCGAAATATTTGAGCTGGATCACCTCAGTTTCTTGACCAAGTCAAATCTTCATTATCATCACCATTGCCGTCACTGTGACTCAGTGGTCAGAGCGACGCTACTTTGGTCAAGAGCTGTCCCAGTATTTGAAACTGGACCCGTCACTTTCGAGATCACGAATAACATTATCTAGGTCACTGGAGACTTGTCACTATTAATGAGTCGGGAGATCCTGGCGCCTTTCCTGCATAAATTGTCACCCGCCTACGTGCACAAGAGATTCAATCAGTAGGTCCTTTCTGCTGTAGCCTTATGCGTCCGACTGCCCACCGTCGATGTCCATGAAATGAGACAATTTGCTCTCAGGAGTGTAGGCGAGATGAGGACGAGTGGTAAGCGGATGTGTGTGTTTTCAGCTTACGCGGTAAAGGCCAGTGTAAACGATGGAGCAGGGACTGCAGAGCCGACTGCTGAGAGACCCAACATATCCTGTCCAGGGAGTCGGACTCAGCATCCAAAGACGCCTCAGCAGAGCTCATCTGAATTTTACGTAAACCAACACCGCCTGCTGATTAAGTGGTTGAGGATTTAAAGCCAAGTCATTGTGAGCGATGCTGCAAGATCTTTCATACCCTGACTCAGGGCGAACTCAACTGACAATAACTTAATCACAGCGACTATCACTCGGGAAACTCGAACGCAAGTTAAGGTACTAAATGAAGTAGAGAAGAATTAAACACACGAGTTGTTGCTCTGACGGAACGCTCGCATATGGGCTTGCTATTGACAGTTACGTCGAGGGGGTTTGGCTTGATGTCTGCGAGTGGAGGGTAGAAGCGCAGTAGCAGCGAATGCCATTCAATATGCTTAATTGCATTTGCACAAATACAACCAGCATTTAGCATACTTGCCCTTTGCTTTGTCACTTCTTCTGCAAATTGCACAAACTACTCGATATCGACAGAGGCATCCAGCAGGTAGACATGCAACAACCTCGTAGTTAAAGTCAGGACGCATAGTTACGGTCCTTTGGGAGGTCATAGAAGAAGTTGTGCGCTGTCACAAGCTGTAGTATCTAATATCGTCCTAAATGCTAGAGAACTACTAGAGAAGAGTGCGAGTCACTTTTATCATTCCCCATGCTTCCTTTTTGCATAACGTCAGGTTAAAAGGTCAATAGATAATTCAAATGTGGTACCTGTGATGGGCTATAAGAAGACGAAAAATTTGTAAACAATTTATAATAATCTGTTGTTTTTTTGTATTCCTCTTAAAGAATACATCTTTAAGTTTGAAATATGATGCAGATAAAACACTAGGAATACTAGACACTATACATCGCATGTATTCCGGTGATTTGCCCTCCACCAGTGCCAATTTAGTGCAACCACA